ACTTTTTTTTTTTAGGGTACTTGGCCTGATGCTTCCAGTTAATTTTCCTGCCGTTCTTGATGCATTTGCACATGTCTGTGTTTGCTTCTTTGCATTGTTTTTGCAGCCCAAATTGAGATTAGAGCTGAAATAAATGCAACTTAAAAACATCATTGTTTTTAGTCTTATCTTTCAGCTGCATGATCAAAGATAAACTGTGGATTTTATCTGAAATAAAGTTGTTCATATTTCAGGAAGGGAGAAAGGAACTTGAGGCAAGACTAGTATGACAAGGAGCCAGGACTTATTTTAATTTGGAATTCAGAAAAAGGTTTCTAACTGCCAGAAGAGTGAAGTTTTACAATAACAGTCCAGTGGGAAGAGAAGGTGAGAAAAGGAAAAACCTACTGAATTTTAAAAGGGGAATTGATCAGGTTAGGAGTGGGAGTAATATACTGTGAAAATAATGGCAATTACAAAGTTTCCTTCAGATTGAGTGTCCTTATGGCACTGGGTTGCTCTGGAACACCTAAGGATCAGAGACCAACAGCTTTAACTCTGCTAAGCATGTTTTGTTCTTGATTATTTTGACTTTGCGTATTTTTAGTTACTGATTTCTTTTGTCCATGGGATTTATGAAAAAAAAAAAAGAAAAGAATCTTTGAGCTAACCAGAGGTCCTGCATAGCCGTTCATATGCAAGAACAGAACCTATCATGCTATGCAGAAGCAGATTTTCATTTGTCATTGATATGACAATGTTATTAAAAGTCACAGTTTTACAAAATGACATGGACAAGGTAAATTATGGCAACTAATCCTTTCACCACTGCTGAAGAGGATCAGATTCTCCCAGGTCAGGTTTTGAGCAGAAGTCTAACAAACACTATATTATGTCCAGTTCTGGTTCCTACAATTTAAGAAAGATGTGGCGAGGCCAGAGAGGGTCAAAAGGAGGGCTATGAAGATGATCAAAGGGATGGACAACCTGCTCGATGAGGAAAGATTGAAGGAGTTAGGTCTTTCCCTTCTCCCACCATCACATTTTAACACCTGGTTTTCAAATACAAATACTTAAAAGAGGCAGAGGGACTTGGGTATTTTTCCTCTATGAACTAAAAACTCCCACAACTAAGCATTTAAGTTTTATTATCTGGGCTCTGAGTTCCAGATATACTAAATGTAGGTGAAGGTGAAACGAGGTGAAGCCACCATGTAGCAATGAAACAAGCCTTGTCCTTTGAAATATAGATTGTAGTTTTCATTTTGGGATGTTAATTGTCCTGTAACACCAGCACCTCACATCAAAAAGTCAATAATCAAACAGCGGTTAGGTACAGTAAATGGTCACAAAAGCTGCAACACAGAAAGTTTTTGTACATTTACATAAGTAAAATAAGAAAATTAGACAAGAAATACGTTATGGATATGGTAGAAAAAATGGCTCAAGGAGCACTGTACACTTTTTTTCCCGTTAATTATGTATTGTTTTTAATAACATAGCCTTTCTAGCTCCAAAATATATTTCACAGTGAAAAATTAAACAAAGCACTGTTACACTCCTCAACTAATATTTACACACACTTAGAAGCAAACCACCTGTTGGTTTCTTCCATCCTGAAACAAATAGAAATGACAGCCACTGTGAATGGTGGCCATGCATGTCCGGCATCATCAGCTTACATACAACATAAAGATTTCTTGAGACCTAATTTGTGCGATGGCATCAGAGTCTGGTTTAGATAACTATATACACCTGAAGTATGATCTTTCCAGTAACACTGAGAAAGTTAAAGTGAGTAAGGAAAGCCACATTTGCAAGTGCATCAACACTTCCAATAAAAAAATCGTAATAGAAAGGGGTTGCTTGTATAATATATTGTATATTAAATATGTTGAGAGATACCATCTCTTCTAGTAATTCAGTGCTGGTGAAAGGTACCAAAGACTTCAGTTTGTCCACTGAACAAGAAACACAGGGACTGCAACAGCAGAAATTTCCCCTCCACTGCCCTCCAACTTGCTTGCTCCTGAGCATTGGCTCTAGGAATTTAAGGGGCAAGTCCACGTTTTCATGACTATTCAGTCCTTGGCCTCTCTTGCTGAGACCACCAAAAAATAATAGTAATAATAATGTGTTGAGGCCAGATCCCAAGCCAAAGTGAAGTGGCTTTGTTCTAATGATAACAACAGTTTTCGGTACTGATTTTAATTTAGCTGAGGATCTGGTCTCTAGTGTGCATGATTGGAGGGTGGTTTTAGTGATGTGGACGTTTGCCCACGAGGCACTGGACTGAGATCCACCAACTCAAATTGCAGAGCACTGTAGGACCGCTAGGAAAACAACAGAATCCAAAAGTAAGCTCAGAAAAAAACCTCAACACCAACAAAATAAAAAGAATATGAAAATATCCAAATACATTCTTTCTCTGGACTAAAACATGGCAAAAAGTCTCCAGCTAGAGGCAGTTATTCAATACTTTTTTCTCAAAAGTTCTAATTTATTAATGCTTGAAAATTGGCTACTAGTCGTTCATGCAAAATATACTTTTTGATTTTTTTAAAATAATACACCTACAGTATTGTCAATATAATACCTTGCGAAAGCCCATACTACAGAAAATACAAAACTAAATGTTATCTGCTCTTCTGACATCAGATAGTCTCATTTAAGAAATATCTTAAGTATGCATTTACCTGATAGATCTCACTTTCCCCATCTCCCATGCCTTTCCAGACTGCAAAGTGCATGATTCCTTGGGAAACTTTCTAAAATAGCTTTTAGCAGCATCTAATGAGAGAGGAAGCTCCAATCTGTCAGTTAAAAATACTTCAGTGACTTTTGCAGAGAGTTTGGAAGAGGGGGACAAATTCTGCTCTTGGAGCAGCAAATCAGGGCTGAAGACTTGGAAAAAAAAAAGTCTCTGGATCATATAACTCCCCCTTAAGATACTGGAGTGTAATGTAAGTAATTTAAACTGTTTTGCTGGTCCTCTGTGCAAGGGTAGATTTCACCTGACAGGGAGATATGCATCTGATAAGAGCATGATTCTGCACCAATACAACATCAGTCAACATTTCTGTCTGTTTCAAAATATTTTTACATTCATTTATACTGCTACAACTGAGAGCAGATTATGTCCCATAAAGCACTATATAAGTGTTAAGTATTATTATAATTAATATTTCAATTACAACTTTGTGAGACCTTTGTTTTGTCCCTTTAAAAATAAGGAAACTAGCATTATTTTTAAAAATCTATGCTTAAAATGACATTAAAACTTTTTCTACCTAAACTAACAAAAACCAGTGAAATTAAAATCTCACACTCAGTTTACACTAGATCTCTGAGTCTTTCACTTCTTTTTAAAATTCTTGATCATGTCAACTAACATCAAAGAACAAGCCTGAATTTCCTGGTTACTATTACTTTCAGTTCAAAACTTCACATTTAAAATGTCATTTTCTTTTTTTTTTAATATATACATACACATACATGCACATATATATATCTGTGTATATATATATATATCAGTTCTTAAATCCAAAATTAAGTGAGTGCTAGGACGGTCGTCAGAGCCTTTATGCACTGTATAAAGACTTCTAAGAACTGACATCATCAACATTTGGTTGAAGTAGATATGTACCAGTTGTGGCTTTAACTACAAGGCAAAGGTTGAAGGAACATTTTAGTTCCTTTCAAAGAAAAGCAAAAAGACCATTGGCTGCTAAATAAACAGAATATCCAAAGACAGAGAAAACTGCCAGGTGTGGGAAGTCATCCAAAGTCTTTTTCTTTTCCTTCCATACTATCTTATTGTTCAGTTTAGTTGCTCACCAAATGTAGATAACTTTTACTTTCCAAGATGATCATGCCAGATCCTTCTTATGCCTCTTGCTCTGGCAGGGAAGAGTCAACACACAGAAGTCAACCAGGTTGCAAAGGCAGCACACTCTGTGTGACAGCACTACCCGAAAACATGCCATGTTTGGACACAGATGCAGAGAGTTCAAGGTTATCTGGAGGGAAAGGCCATCCTGGAACTGACTTTTTCTCTTAAGGTGAGAGGCAGGGGACAGTTATTTTTATTATTCAAAGAATCCAATCAATTTATCAATCAATCAGTCAACACCAAAAATAGAGATATATCCCAACTGCATGGCCCTTTTATAAAATTCACAGCTTAGCTAGAACATAAAGCATTCTCAGAAGTGTTCCTGGGTAGGGAAAAAGACAGTTGATCCCATCTCTCTTGTCTGGAGTCCCCGCACTGATTGATGATAGCTATGCAGATCCACATTGACTGACTAAATCCAGCCGTGAACTTAATTTTCTGGAGTTCTTCCTGAATTGGCTGGTTTGATTAAACCAAGCATGTTAGCTCCATCTTAAGACTCAAAAGAGAAACACTGCAGAAATTCACATGCCAAAAGACAGGGACAGGCTAAGGTATGTTTGACTAGGGGAAAAAAAAGACAAATCCAAACCAAAATGGAAACCAATTTGAAAAATAACAGTGGTTATGTCCATTCACAGATTAGTATCAGTTTGGCAACCAAGGATCACAAGTGCACAGCAATCACTTGTTACTTTTGACTGATGACGGATTACTTGCAGATGCTCTAAATGGAAATCATTGAGTGGGTGGGCTTGGCCTGTTGTTTATCTTTTAAACATTTTTCCATTAATGGCCTTCAGTACAGTTGGCTATTTACAGTGATTGTTAAAAAGATATATATATACACCTCTTTGCTTTTTCACCTCTACAAACGTCAGGGAAGGGAAGGGAAGGGAAGGGAAGGGAAGGGAAGGGAAGGGAAGGAAAGGAAAGGAAAGGAAAGGAAAGGGAAGGAAAGGGAAGGAAAGGAAAGGAAAGGAAAGGAAAGGAAAGGAAAGGAAAGGAAAGGAAAGGAAAGGAGACCTACACCACCACCAAAATTACGATTTTCTTTTTCTTTTTTTTTTTTTTTAAAGGGATAGTTTTTGGTTTGCTTGTTTATTGGTTTGTTTTCCTTAGCTGCTCATGTCGCTAGGTTCTCCGCATTTATGCTGGACATCCGAATCTGAGAGCTGCTCTTGCTCAGAATGGAGAGTTGTGTCCCCCCGTTCACTCCGCTGCTCGCTAGAGAAGGATGACGATGTTTGAAATCCACAGCAAAATACCGGTTGACTTTCCAGCTCCTCCATTTTCTCTTTATTTCTGATTGCACCTTTAGGGAGAAACTTCAAAAGGTCATTTTTTATGTACTTAGCTGCTCGAGGACATGCTGACAAATTATCAAGATTAGAAAAAAACCCACAATTTGACAGAACTATTTTTAAGACTATTGTTAAACTCCTCACTTCAGTGAAATCTGAAGTGACTTCTCCATGTCTGAAAAAGGTACAGGCATGTAGTGAGAACAACAGCCCAAGTTCTGTGTCTCTGACTTCAGATAATTTAGGATCAGCCCAGAGCTGCATAGAAGACCTGTTCAACACTTACTCCAACATGGTTCTTGAGCTAGCTTCTTGGAAAAAACATCCTGGTTTCATCAATGGCCAGTACCAAATACATAACAAGGAGACAAAGAAATGAGCAACCAAAAGGTACCAGACAGTAATGAAATAACCTGTCCACACAGGCAGATTGTCTCTCACCTACCATTAACAGATGCATGTCTACTGAAAACTTTGCCTCCTGCTTTCAGATTACCTATAGGCAGACAACAGCTCTTGGATTATTATACATCTGTGACACCCTCTTTTCTCTTGCAATTTCTTTCATGGGCACCCACAGTAAATCACCAAGAGTAAAACTATCTATGATCAGAAGTTCAGTTAGAAAATAAGTAAATAATTCTGTAGTTTTTCTACTTTTCATTCATCATCAATTTCCTGGCAATCCTGCTAGGTGTACACATGTGTACATATATACATAAGATAGTATGAGTGGGATATAAGAAAGATGATAATAGCTCAGACAAACATTTACTCAGTTTATTACTCATTCCTGACAGCAGCCTGTAGCATATTTGTGAATGAAATAGTGTAAGGGCAAGGAAATATGCAGAGATATTTTCCCAATATATTTTTCCAGTCTCCAATGAGCTGCTGAGTCAAAGATATTCTTGTCTTTAACAGTCATTGCTAGGTTTTCCTAGATTAATGTAATTGTCAAAATAGATCCGCATATGCCAAAATGCTAAACAAGTGCTTTAACTATATGGAGACAAACTACAGGGAGGAAAAATCCGATGGAAAACTTACATTCTCCTTCTAGTACCTCTAAATTTCTATTTCGGTTAAAGTATAGATAGATATAGATTAGATAGAGTATGGAGTTATATTACGTCTCTAAAAAGAAAATAACGTTTGTATCTGTAACAGTGTAATACACTAAAGGTGAACCCTTTCTTACCCTAAGTAATTTAGCGGAGGCATAAGATATTCTTTAATGTCTTGAGAGCTGAAATGGTTTTAATTAATCTGATATTGTGTTAGTTTGGCTAAGATCCACCATCTCACTCCCTCCAAAGAGTTACAGGCGATCTGATACACTGTGCACGTTATCTTGGAAGGTGCTTATCTCCATATTAGTTTTAGACAAGACCTTCTGGCTATTCTTTTAACATTCATGGAAGATAATAAATGAAACAACAGTTGTAGGTCAGTGAGGTGGATATCCAGTAACGCCAGCTGGTGAAGTATGAATGCAGCCACTAATTCCAGCAAGGCATGATCCAGAACCCACCTTCTGAGCTACTTGGGACTGAACTATGAGTAATGCTTTAACAGACCTGTGGGTCCTTTAACAGTTGCCTTGACTAAACCCATGAACAAAAATGACTTATAAGTTTGTTTGATAAGCTTGGAGATTGTTATGGTTATCTGAGAAGGAATCACCTGGATCTAGAGATCTGTTGTACTAGATAGCAGCTCTTGTGTGCTATATGTGAACAAGCATAGAACACCTACTGTGCTAAAACTGGTAGAAATAAATAGTCTCAGCCTCCTCAAAAAGAAAAAGAAAAGGTGATTTTAGAAGAAGCCGTCTCCTATTGGATTGCACAATAAATGTATATCAGTGGAGGAAAGAATGGATGAACTGTACATACTCCTCCTGAGGCAGCCTAGAGGAGAAGCCTTTTTCCATTAATTCAGAAAATTATTATTTCAGTTATTCAATAAGATAAACAAAGGCATAGGAATTTCAATTTGCAGATCAGAAGGGGTGAATCTGAAAAAAAAAAACTGTGGGAAGCTAATGCTAGCAGCAGCAGCAGCAGTTGCCATGTGCTGAGAGAATTGTGAGGCTTGCAATGCACCTGGGGGTTGTCTGAGGTGGTTTCTGGGCACCCAACACCCTTGGGCTGTGTGTATAGAAAGACCAACTGACAGGTGGTAGGTCTCATGAGAGGAGTGGGCAACAGTTCGATGGTGTCAGCTGTCCCCATGGCCAGGTCAAACTGTGGGAAGCCACATATAACTGACTCCTGGAGAGCACCAGCAACCAGGAGTGCAAACAAGGTGTGTTGGGAGCAACATCAGCAACAGGACATGGCATCTGTTGGGAGAGGCATCAGCAGTTTCTGCAGCAGTTCACGCAGGAAGAGCTGTAGACTCTGCCAGTTGTTGGGCTGCTGCCTGCTCTGCGCACCTAGAGGCTTAGGCTGCAGCCCCTATGGTCACCCAAGCTAGCTAGTGGCTTTGCAAGCCCACCAAGCAGCTTGAGGTCTCCAGGGAATTAGAAGAGTTAATTAGGGAGTGCTTTGAGCTTGTTGGAAGCATGATGGTAGAGACCAGGCAAGGGCTATACTCTGCAATAAACAGAAATCAGCTGTGTAGCCAGGCTAGCCTGGGAAGAGTGGAGGTAACCACCAAGACAGAGCTTCCTATCTGGGAAACTGCTGATCAGGTGGAAGGATGCAAAGACTGTGACCCTGCATCCTGGGCGGAGGACAGTGGAAGCTGTATCTGCTCAAGGAAGGCTCTGGTGGAGTCATTCAGGCTGCAGGAGGAAGTTAGCAAGCTATGCTATATTAGAGAGGGTGAATAAGAAGTAGAACATTATTTGAGGCTTTGCAAGAAGAAATATTAGGGCTCTGTGGCACTGACCTCCAAGGACTACCAGACAAAGAGCTTCAACAGCAAACAGACAGCACCATGGGCAAGGAGGTGCCGTGGTCTCTGGTGACCCACGGGAGCAGGTTATTACTTCAATCTCCTTCTTATGTACCAGCCAGCAACAGATATTAAGCCTTGTCAGCAGATAAAACTGAAGAGCAGGGAGAAACTGTACCAGCAGCACACGGCAAAAGCTGCAAAAGGAAGCGGTGAGTGCTAATAGTGGGTGACTCTCCGCTGAGAGGCACTGAAGCACGCATCTGCCCATTTGATATACGGTTGAGTGAATTTTGCTGCTTGCCAGGAGCCAAGATCCAGGATGTCACAGAGAAATTGCCTCCACTAGTTAAAAGCACAGACTACTATCCCCTGCTTCTTTTCCATGTGGGCACCATTGGCATGGTAAAGTAAAGCCTGAGCAAGACCAAGCAGGACTTCAGAGCCCTGGAGGTGCAAGTGAAAGGGACAGAAGCCCAAGTGATCTTCTCCTCTGTCTTGCCAGTCAGAGATAGGGGTGCAGGTAGAAGTCGATGCATCACGCAGATCTATATCTGGTTTTGTGGGTGGTGTCATTGCCAGGGTTTTGTTTTCTACAGTCATAGCACATTCTTCAGTGAATACAGCTAACTGGGGAGAGGTGGGATACACCTACCTAGAAGAGGCAGGAGAATCTTCATTAGCAGATTGGCTGATTTAGAGAATTGTGCTTTAAACTAGTGAACTTGGGGGCTAGTGTCCAAAGCTGTGACACCTGCATATTCATAAGCAGCAGTTTGGATGAGTTCCCCTACCAGAGTAGTGAGAAATGCTCCCCCAAGCCATTCCAAAGGCAAAAACCCTAAGTTCAGTCACCTACAGTCATGTATACCAATGCATGTAGCCTGGGCAGCAAACAGGAGAAACTGGAGCTCCAAGCGCAGTCAGAGAGTTACGATACTATAAAAATCACAGAAACTTGGTGGGAAAACTCACACGACTGGAAGACCACAATGGATGACTACAAACTGTTTTGGGAACATAGGAAGGGGAGAAGAAGAGATGGAGCTGCACTTCATGTAAAATAGAAATTTGAGTGTGTGGGGGCGAGTTATGGAGACCACAAAAATTCTATCAAATGTCTTTGGATCAAGATCAAAGGAATTGTCACCAAGGGGATCTTTTGTTAGATATCTGTCACTGACCTCCCAATCAGGATGATGAGGCTGATGAAACCTTACTTCAGGTGCTTAATGAAGTGTCAGGCCAACAGAACCTGATTCTCATGGATTACTTAAATTACTCAGGTATTTGTTGGGAAAACATTGCAATGGTACACAAGTCCTCCTGTGTACTGAGGATTGCTTCCTGCTACAGATGTGGCATATGCCAACTAGGAACAATGCATTGCTGATCACCTGAAAGGAGGTTGTAGTGAGGTGGGGGTCGGTCTCTTCTCCAAAGTAACCAGCGATAGGACAAGAGGAAATGGCCTCAAGTTGTGCCAGGGGAGGATTAGATTGGATACTAGGAAAAATTTCTTCATTGAAAGGGCTGTCAAGCATTAGAACAGGCTGCCCAGGGAAGTGGTGGAGTCACCATTCCTGGATGTATTTAAAAGGCATGTAGATGTGGTGCTTAGGGACATGGTTTAGTGGTGGATTTGGCAGTGTTGGGTTAATGGTTGGACTCGGTAATCTTAAAGGTCTTTTCCAACCTAAATGATTGATTCTATGATTCTATGATTGCTAGATTTACTGTTTATAAACCAAGAAGACTTATTTGACAACATAACTAACTACTAGTTGTAGCCTTGGATACAGTGATCATAACATTGTAGAGTTTAAGGTACTGCTGAGCACACTGAAGACAACTAGTAGGACCAAGATCCTGGATTTTAGAAAAGCCAGTTTCAATATGCTCAGAGCCCAACCACCAGGGATTCAATAGGAAGCATCCACGGAGGGCCAAGCACGGAGTGCTGGGAGGAAGGTTCAACAACGGCCTCCTGGAAGCATAAGAACAGTCCATCCTTTACAAAGGGAAAGGAAGAAAGCAGAACAAGACACCAGCTGTCTTAACAATAAGCTTTTGCTTAAAAAAAACCCCAAAAAAAAACCAAAAAAAGAAGCATAATGGCTATAGAAAGGGAGCCACATACCCATCAAGACTACAAGAACCTTGCTAGGGCATGCAGAGATGCAGTCAGGAAGGCTAAGACTCAGCTAGAACAGAAAATGGTCGAAAAAGTCAAGAATAACAAGAAAGGATTCTTCAGATACGTAAACAGTAAGCAGAACCACAGGGAAGACATAAGCCAATTGCTAAACAGCACAGGGGAACTAGTTGTTAATAACGTTGACAAGGCAGAGGTTCTCAATACCTTCTTTGCCTCTGTCTTTACTGGTGCAGCTGGACCCCAGGTCAAAGTATCAAGTAGCTACAACAACACATGTGCCGACCCAGCAGTAGCAGAGGAAGGACAGGTCTGTGGCCTCTTGCAGGAGTTCCTTCCACATAAATTTATAGGCCCAGATGGAATCCACCCCAAGGTGTTAAGAGAAGTGATTGACATTGTTTCAAGACCACTGTCCATAATATTTGAAATGTTATGGAGATCAGAGCATATCCCTGATGACTAGAAGAGGGCAAATGTCATACCAACCTATAAGAAGGGCCCAAAAGAGGCTCTAGTCTAGTTCAGTCTAGTCTAGTCTAAAGAGGACCCAGGAAACTACAGGCTTATTGGTCTTACTTCAGCCTTTGGGAAAATAATAGAAGACCTCCTAGAAACTATCACAAACCATACGAAGCAGGTGATTGGGAAAAACCAGCAAGGATTTACCAAAGGCAAATCATACCAGACTACTCCCATCATCTTCTACAACAAAATAATATTTTCTATTGACATAGGGAGAACAGTGGATGTTGTTTACCTGGACTTCAGCAAAGTGTTTGACACTGTTTCCCTCAGCCTTCTCCTAGGCAACACAGCAAGATATAGATTGGATGGGTGGTCTACCAGACAGGTGGGAAATTGGCTAACAGGCCAGTGAGCAACCTTTTTCACTCAGCATGGTAGCCTGTCACTAGTAGGGTCCTCCAGGGATTGACACTGGACCCCATAATGTTCAACATCTTCGTAAATGATCTGGACGAAGAGATTGAAAGCACCGTCACCATGCTGGCTGTTGAAACCAATCTGGGTGGTGAGGTGGACATGTCAGAGGGGAGAGTCATCTTTGCAGAGAGAACTGAACAGGTTGGTAGAGTGGCCTAGCAAGAACTGTATGAAGTTTAACAAAGATAGTGCAAAGTTCTGCACCTGGGATGATATAACCAAAGAGACCAGCACAGTCCCTACCTCTGTTGGGGAGCATTAATCTGAGCCATCATCTCTGACAAGGCCAATGTTTTCATTTTATAAAGACATCACACATCCTCTTTCTTTTGCTGAGACATTGTGAGATTTAGCCTAAGGTATTAGGGAATATGGTAGATGATGAATCACAGTGAAGGTTTAGAATAGTAGTTACTCCCACAAGGAAATGGGATGGGGATGGTTGGGGGGGGGGAGGTTAAATATGAAAAATCTTACCTCCCCATTCAAGAAACAATAGAGAACAGCAACAACAAAACCCTAGGTAAATAAGAGAAAAAAAAATGTAATTCAAATCCTTCAGTAAATGCTAGAAAATAACTGGAGTTAAAATGAACAAACAAACAAACAAACAAACAAACCCAAAATCCTAGTATACAAAACATGTACATAAATGAATAAAGACACAGGCTGAGACCTGTGCATGTAAAGTAGTTATAATGAATAAAGATTTCTTTTTAACAAAATCAGAATTCACCATATAATCACCTGGAAAGATCCCAGTCCCAATTCAAACACTAGTCTCTCCCGCTTACTGACATTTTCAGGAGAAAAAGCAAACACCGTGTAGTGAATTCCAAACAAGGGGATAAGCAGCAGTGTAGAGCGAGCCAGTCTCCTGTTATAACAGAGTGAAAGAACTTTAATGCAATCTTGTAATAAACAACTTGTGCTTTAATTAGAGAAGAAAACACAGAAAATATTTTGTTGCCTGCCTTTTGGGAAATACATATGCTGTATAATTATACAAACAAATATATAACATTCTCATTTGTTCCCAGACAGTGATTTCACAGACACTGTAGTTTGTTCCCACTTCTTCACACTGCTACAATAATAGCACATTAGTAATGCTTAATACTCTGTACTTTTATTTCAATTTGCATTGTTATAAGCAGGGATTTTTTCTATGGTGCCAAACATGAGGAGGGCAACCTTCCTAAGGGATTCAGACTGCTACTGTAACACAATAATAAATCTCTCACCCAATTGCTAATCCCAGTGGAGTGTTTGAAATAATTTGTGTATGTGTGATTTTATTTCTGTATGGCAAAAAATTATAAAACAGCAATACAAATAAAGCTAAAAAAATCCTGTATGTTCTTATACTCATGACTATTCGTCAAGATCTTGATTTTGGTCTCATTTATACTCTTGGAAACATAAGAGTAATTCCACTGTGGAACTAATTTCCATTGCATTAGAATAAAGAGGGTATAGAGGGAAATCAGACTCAGTGGGTATAAACAAAAGGGTTGGGAGTGAATGTGTGTACCTGTAAGCACCTAACTGAGTGTGGATGAAACTCCCCAAAAGCAGCGCTCCAGCCAAGACTTATATATGTTTTAGTCAGTGTCATTTGCTGACTGAGTAGCAAAAAAGACCCAAAAGAAAGCAAATGTCCATCTGAAAATAAGGCAAGTGCTTTATTATAAACAATGTGGTCTCCAGGACATCTTCAAAGGGGAAAAAAAATATGAATTATTTATTTCAAGTAAGTTAAGGAGGCAGATGGAGACCAAAGGAAGCTAAAACTCTATAAAGATTTCTGGAAGAGCTGCATACTTTTTAAAATTCAAATGTTGACTCTGCAGCTCAACAATATCCTGAAAATGATGTGTTTTTCTTACTGAAAGTGAAGACTGAATTAATACATCTCTAAGAACTCTGTGAACAGATGCTGTTATATCCAATACTAAACTGAAAATGGGACATCAGTTCATTGCTGGTGTCCCTCAGCCATACTTTGTGCAGTAATGGTGATAAATACATCACAACCCTTACCTTGAGATTGTACTAAACACACATGAGTCATTAGCCTGATGCACATCAAATCTCAAGTCTTGGTGAAAGACCCCACAAACCAGAGAACATAATTCTAGTGAATTATCAAGTTAGACATTGATCAAAAGTTCTTTTAAGAGAGGAACAACCTTGGAATAGGTTGATGAAGAGCATACAGACTCTCCAACTTTGGTGATCTCTAGAAAAAAAAAACCTATACAGGAGTGACCCAGTGTAACAGACTAAAAGATCTTTCAAGGTCCCTTCTTGTCTGTTTTCTCTATGGACATGTAAATAGATTAATGAAAAGGAACAGAAATGTTGTGGAAAAGATTATAGAATAATACCGTCTCCATAAATAAAAAAGATGTGAAGAACATAAGTGTCTTAAACTAGCCATGGAATGGAAAAAAAAATCAAATTAAGATAGTAAACTGGGCAAAGTATAATCTCTCAAAATCTCTTACCCTTTGTATTTAGAAGTAATGACAGCAACAACAAAAGGGTAAATGTTATTTTGATTTAAAAATCAGAACAGAATTGTCTACTAGTATGTTGTATCTCACTGCAATCATAGGAGATTAATTTTGAGAAAGATGCGGAGGAAGACTTTTTCTATTGTCAGTTTTCTGGCATTAATTATATCTGATTAAGCATACAATTAGTTTGTAGGATCTTGAAATATAATGTCATCATCAACTTATTTGAGTTGTTGTCTTCAATATTGTCATAAAAGTCAGGAAGAAAATACATGAAATGTAAGAAACAACACATTCTGAAGTTTATAGATTATTAAGATCTATAAAGAGGAAAAGAAGATTTTTAATTATAGAAAAAATCTGAGGGATACTAATGACTGTGTGGATGATGATGAATTGTGTTTTTTCAAGAGCATTAGGAAGCAAGAAGACTTAAAGTAGCACCTGTGAGAAATGTAAGTTCATATGCAATGGTGAAACGAAGATGTTAAAGGATACAGCAAAATTCTCAGGAAGGTAACAAAGATATTCGTGCTTTTTTCTTCCCACAC